AGTTCCAAAGAATAGCAAAGAGAGATAAGAAAGCCTTCCTCAGTGACCAATGCAAAGAAAGAGAGGAAAACAATAGAATGGGAAACACTAGAGATCTCTTCACGAAAATTAAAGATACCAAGGGAACATTTCATGCAAAGATGGGCACAATAAAGGACAGAAATGATATGGGCCTAACAGAAGCAGAAGATATGAAGAAGAGGTGGCAAGAATACACAGAAGAACTGTACAAAAAAGATCTTCATTACCCAGATAACCACGATGGGTGTGATCACTCACCTAGAGCCAGACATCCTGGAGTGCAAAGTCAAGTGGGCTATAGGAAGCATCACTACCAACAAAGCTAGTGGAGATGCTGGAATTCCAGCTGAGCTATTTCAAATCCTAAAAGATGATGCTGTGAAAGTGCTGCACTCAATAGGCCAGCAAATTTGGAAAACACAGCAGTGGCCACAGGACTTCAGTTTTCGTTCCAATTGCAAAGAAAGGCAATGCCAAAGAATGTTCAAACTACCGCATAATTGGACTCATCTCACACGTTAGTAAAGTAATGCTCAAAATTCTCCAAGCTAGGTTTCAACAGTACGTGAACCGAGAACTTCCAGACATTCAAGCTGGATTTAGAAAAGGCAGAGAAACCAGAGATCAAATTGCCAACATCCGTTGGATCATAAAAAAATCAAGAGAACTCCACAATAGTATCTACTTCTGCTTCATTGATTATGCTAAAGCCTTTGACTGTATGGCTCACAACAAACTGTGGAAAATTCTTAAAGAGATGGGAATACCAGACCATCTGACCTGCCTCCTGAGAAACCTGTATGCAGGTCAAGAAGCAACAGTCAGAACTGGACATGTAACAACAGACTTGTTCCAAAATGGGAAAGGAGTATGTCAAGGCTGTATATTGTCATTCTGCTTATTTAACTATATGCATCATGAGAAATGCTGGACTAGATGAAGCACAAATTGGAATCAAGATTGTGGGGGAGAAATATTAATAACCTCAGCTATGCAGATGACACCACCATTATGGCAGAAAGCAAAGAGGAACTAAAGAACCTCTTGATGAAAGTGAAAGAGGAGACTGAAAAAGCTGGCTTAAAACTCAACATTCAATAAATGAAGATCGTGACATCCAGTCCCATCACTTCATGGCAAATAGATGGGGAAACAATGGAAACAGTGACGGACTTTATTTTCTCGGGCTCCAAAATCATTGCAGAGAGTGACTGCAGCCATGAAATTAAAAAGATGCTTGCTCCTTGGATGAAAAGCTATGACCAACCTAGTCAGCATATTAAAAAGCAGAAACATTACTTTGCTGACAAAGGTCCATATAGTCAAAGCTATGGTTTATCCAGTAGTCATGTACGGATGTGAGAGTCGGACCGTAAAGAAAGCTGAGCACCGAAGAATTGATATTTTTGAACTGTGGTATTGGTGAAGACTCTTTTTTTTAAATTTATTTTTATTAGTTGGAGGCTAATTACTTTACAATATTGTAGTGGCTTTTGTCATACATTGACATGAATCAGCCATGGATTTACATGTATTCCCCATCCCGATCCACCGTCCCACCTCCCTCCCCACCCGATCCCTCTGAGAGTCCCTTGGACTGCAAGGAGATCAAACCAGTCAATCCTAAAGGAAATCAATCCTGCATATTCATTGAAAGGACTGTTGCTGAAGCTCCAATACTTTGGCCACATGATGTGAAGAACTGACTCATTGGAAAAGACCCTGATGCTGGGAAAGATAGAAGAGGGGAGGAGAAGGGGATGACAGAAGATGAGCTGGTTGGATGGCATCATCGACTCGATGGACATGAATTTGAGCAAGCTCCGGGAGTTGGTGATGGACAGAGAAACCTGGCTTGCTGCAGTCCATGGGGTCACAAAGAGTGGGACATGACTGAGCGACTGAACTGAGCTGAGTAGTAATGTTGAGCATCTTTTCATGTGCATCTTAGCCATCTTTATATCTTCTTTGGAGAAATGTCTATTTAGATATTCTGCTCATTTTTTTGATTGGGTTATTTGCTTTTATGATATTGAAGTGCACGAGCTGTTTGCATATTTTAGAGATTAATCCTTTGTTGGTTGCTTCATCTGCAAATAATTTCCCCCATTATGTGCGTTGTCTTTTCATTTTGTTTATAGTTTCCTTTGCAGTGCAAAAGCTTTTAAGTTTAATTAGGTCCCATTTGTTTATTTTTGTTTTTATCCAAAGTATTTTTGAAATAGATCTCAGTGAGTGGTGAATTTGGAGATTTTGATGTATAGCATTAGGTAAAGAAAAAACAGTAAAATATTAGAACTCAAAGGCATCTTAGGGATCATTGAATTCAAATTCCTCATTTTCAAACAGGCTGTTGGAGACCCTCAGAAGTTAAGGGACTACCCAAAGCACTGAAGGACATTTGATCCTGTCTAAAATGTCCCTAAGACATTTAGTCTGTGCACAAATGTCCTTGATATTTGGTCCTGTCTAAAACCATTTGACACAGACCAAATAATGCTCACAGGTGTTTTGGAAGGGACCAAATTTCAAGGACCTTATGGAATAGACCAAATAACATATAGACATTCTGCTGCTGCTGCTGCGTCACTCCAGTCGTGTCCGACTCTGTGCGACCCCATAGACAGCAGCCCACCAGGCTCCTCCATCCCTGGGATTCTCCAGGCAAGAATATGGGAGTGGGTTGCCATTTCCTTCTCCAATGCATGCATGCTAAGTTGCTGCAGTCATGTCCAACTCTGTGAGACCCCATGGACAGCAGCCCACCAGGTTCCTCTGTCCACGGGATTCTCCAGGCAAGAATACTGGAGTGGGTTGCCATTGCCTTCTCTTATAGACATTCTAGACAGGATCAAATATCTGCAAATCACCTAAAGTAATACAGCACTCTCATAACCGGGTCTGGAGCACAAGCATTCTGACTCCTGACCTGGTCCTCCTCTTCATCCCTTGTTGAGACAAACATGGTTGGAATGTTCTGTGGTCACAAATGAGAGAGAGGAAGAACTAGTGGTGATCCATTTTTCAAACAATGGGTTACATGCAGTTAACATAGGCTTCCCTGATGTCTTAGATGGTAAAGAATCTGCCTGCAATGCAGGAGATCTGGGTTTGGTTCCTGGGTCAGGAAGATCCCCTGGAGGAGGATATGGCAACTCACTCCAGTATTCTTGTCTGGAGAATTTCATGGACAGAGGAGCCTGGTGGGCTACAGTTCATGGGATTGCAAAGAGTTGGACATGACTGAGTGACTGACACACACACACACAACATAGTCAAAGGGATGATTTGACACTAGTCCATAAGCCTGCTGCCTCTCCCAAGAACATGTGTTCTCCCAGCCAGCTGGTCCTTGCCATCATTAAGAATGAAAAATTATGCACTGAACAAATAATCATTAGATTATGACATTGGTTACCCAGAGGATCTGACTTTAGAACTAATTTTTTAGTGATTTGTGAAAAGTTCTTTAATGCCAAAGTTTGTATCTCTGTGGTAATGACACAAAGGATTATTGCAATTTTAATACACTAGTCTTTCAAGATTCTTTCTATTCCTTGCACTAGAATTTTTAAAGATGGCAGAAAAAAATCTCAAAATCAGTCTACTTCCATAAATTAAAAAGTGTCATCTGGCATTTGTTTTTGAAACCGCAAGACAGTCTTAGTTGTTTTATTCATTTAAACAAAGGTTTCAAGAGGTAATAACATTTTATTACTTTGAGCTAACCCTATTGTCATTTAAAATACTCATGCAGATTCCTGAATTAATCTGTCATAACAGCTGATAATTCACTCTATACATAACACTCATTATAGGTGTGGCTCCTACAATGGCCACAAGTAGAGAGGGTTTGTGTGTCTCTGGGACCAAAATATGTATATACATTTGGAAGCCTGAATCTTTTGTGCTACATCTAGGAGCAAAGAGAACAGTAAGGACCAGATGAAGACTGTCCAAGGCCAAGGTAAATAACAAGATGGACACTCAAAAAAAAAGTTGGAGAGACTGTCCAAGGCCAAGGTAAATAACAAGATGGACACTCAAAAAAAAAGTTGGAGACGTGGTCAAAAATATTCACATGAAGAGAAACTACAGTGAATGAGGAATGATGTAAGGCTGCCATAAAAAGTTGCCATGTGTTCAGGCAGCTGAAGGGGACACCCTGTCACCATTAGCGATTTATTGTGACTGAGCAGATCACCTAAATATCCACATGGCAAAGGATTAAAAGGGAAAATGTTACTGTTTGTAGCAGAACCAACCTTCCTATTCTGTCCCTGATGGAAAGCCAGTCACCAGAACCTTCTCTCTGGTCAACAAGAACTTGGGAGTTGACAAAAGGAATGTGTTGCAACCGTGAGGAGACCTAGGTTTTCATGAAGCCTACCAAGGTCCAGGTGAGAGCTGCCATAATCCACAAGGAAGCAGGCCCTTGCAGGGTCTCCCTCACTAGGTTCTTTCTCCCCCAAGCCCATTGGTGACTGATACCCTCTCCTCCATTTTCCCTGCAGAGAACCAGCCTACTTGGCCACTAGGGGGCCCTGTTGCTCACCACATTCAGGCCTGATCATCAGTATTGGCTCACCTCCCTGCCAAGAGAGTTCTTACTGACTCCTTTGCATCATTCAATCTATTTTTAGAGAAAAGTAACTTAGGGTTATTTCAGCTTTGTCTTTAGAAATGCTGAACAACAAACAGAAAAGAAAATAAAGCATAGTATGGAAATGTGAAAATAGCAAGGCCCGGTCACAGGGCAAGAAAAGCCTTGAACTGGGTGGAATTCTCAGTTACAGCGCTCATATCTGCAGATTGTTTCTGTCTCAAGGCTTACTATTCCCTAGTCTCCTGCCAGGTCTCTCAGGGCCTACTCACCTTTCTGTCACTGCCTCCTTTTCTGTTGACAGAGCTATGGGCAGGTCAACATAGTGGGGAGATAGCAAACACAGTTATCCTGGAAAAAGGTGCCCCCAGCTCACCCAGTTCAGTCTTGAAGGTGTGATCCTGTGGGAGGATAGAGTGGGAGCTCCGAACATTTCCTCCTCCAACAAACCAGTTCACGTTGGGGTTCCAGTGGTTCACAAAGCCACAGAGATGGTTTGCTTCAAAGTCACATTCTGGCAGAAGAGAAATAAAAACAGACTTGATGGAGATGTGGTTATGCCTGCAGCTGCCCAGACTCCCTGCAGTGTGCTCTTACTCAGGTATGTTTCTCACTCCCTTCGACCACTGAGGCCTTTGTACCAGGAGCCCTGGACAATGTCGGTCAAGAGGAGAGGTCCTGTAATGAGCAGAGACAATAATTCATCATTGCTTCTTTGGACTGTGGCCCATGTGGCTTGCAGTGTGACCTCACCTAGCTGCCATCTCCTCCTATGGAAAATGGGGGAACACGCCCACCACGCAGGGCTGTGGTGAGGGAGGACAGCTGCCAGCACGGTGCCAGGCGCCGTAGATCAGCCAACTCTGTGTCAAAGCACTATTTAGAGCTACACTTTTAGCTGAAGAAATTTTATCCACCACCTTTCTGGAGCCCATTCTTTCATTCCCTTCTGTCTTGATGGTACCTCTCTTAGACAAGGTACTAAGCTGAGGGCTAAGGTGCATGTTTCCGAGATGCTAAGAGTTCTCTGCTTTTCTTATAAACAAGATCTTAGAATAGTCGAGACAGGACTAGCTTAGGCACTGGGCCCTTTGGCAGCTACTGACTAGAGAAAAAAAGAGAAAACAAAGAGACCCTCTCTCCCCTTTTTATTAGCATTGACATGCTTGCACAGATAAATTGTTCCCAGTCAACAGACTCCTTTGGGGAAGCAAGAAACTCACAAGCCAGTTCCTCCATTGACCCCCATGAACAACAGTTAAAAATACAAAGTTGTGATTGTGTTGGTCATCTCCTATTGGCTCCTCCAGACCCACCCACCTTTCTTCCACCCTGCTCCATCCTCCAGAGGGTGATGTGTATGGACCTGTATGGGCTTCCTTGCCTGCTGGCTTTTAAAATGGATTCAACCAATGGAAGATAAGAGGAGAACAAGGTTGGGGTTGTTTATTCCTGCGGTTCCCTTTCTGCCAAGATGCCATGAGTTGGCTGTGCCCCGCTACCGAGGGACCACACAGCTCCATGTTCTGGTAAACCCTCCTCTCTTGCCCCTTCAGACCTCCAGTGCTGATGGTTCATGAGCCATCACTTTGACTAGTTTTGGATTACTGCATTTTGACAGGCTTCCTTCACCCACCCATACCTTTGCAGTCCCTTTGGTGAGTTTTCCTCAAATTACTAAGGTTGAATGTAATCTGTTTCCACTTTCTTGCCAGGGTCCTGACTGATAGAGTTATCAGTGCGCTTTTGCATTAGCAAGCACTTAACATTTTTAAGATTTTCATTTTCAACTTTTCTACTACAGGATCCACTAACCTATGCCCAACAGTCAGTGCTAAAGGCTGCTGAAGAGCAAAAGAGAAAAGCAAAATATTCTTCACTGCACCAGGCACTAATCGGAGTACTTTATATGAATTAAATTATCTAATCCTCAACACAACCCCACAAGGTATGTACTATTATTAATCTCATTTTACAGATGAGGAAACAAGAGAGGCAAAAGGAGTGTACAGAAAGAAAGATGAGGTGAGAGTAAGATCATGCAGTTCAACAAGATAAAACATCAGGGCTCCTTTTGTGTTTTTTTAAAAAAACAGAAGCCATCCAGTGATTTGAAGAAAGGAAATCAACATTTTTGAGTGCCAAGCATGGTGACAATCACCTTCATATCCATGATCTTACTGATCTCCACAACAGTCCTTCCCTATGAGGGAAGGATTTGAATCCCCATTTTGCAGGTAATGAAACAGAGGCTGCGGGGCGCAGTGCATTGACTGAGCCAGCAGGTGGTGCTCCACCAGGTGTGTGACTAGCCTGTGAGCGTGTTCAAGCCCCAGGCAGCTGCCACTAAAGAGCTACATGGAGGACCAAAGAAAGAAGATACAGTTTTAGCTCACTGTATCTTCACGAAGTGGTAACAATCTAGGTCTGCTCTCTTTCACTTGCATTAGCATCATCACTAGCAGGTCAAAACAGAGAGGTAAGACTCGAGGAATTAGTAAAGTCTCCTTTTTGTTCAGAATTGCCCTTGACTCCTGTCCCTTCCTTTCCACAGCCATTCAGCCTCCAGTACCGTCAGTGCTGGAAAAAAAATCTCTCGAACCTCCCACCTTTATCCCATTCCACTGAAGACCCCAATTTTAGACTCCTATGTCCCCTCTTGGAGGTTGCAACTACTTCCCAAGGGTTTTCCTGTCTCTTATATACTTTCCTTTTTCCCAGCTCATTTTCCAGGTGGCAGCCAGAGTCAGCATCTGAAAGCCCAGCTGCAGGCCCGGCCCCACTGAATGACTTCTGGTGCCTCCCAACCACATAATCCAGGAACCCAGGCTCCACAGCTGGGATCCAGACTCTTTCGTAACAGCCTCCCTCAGCACTCCTGACTCTCACTTCACACACTACCCAGTCCCTGGCCTTCGCCTGGACACGCTCTGCACTGTCCCTGCACTGGGGTCTGCCCAGAATGAGTGCTTTCCTTCCTGCCCTGCTCCTTTGCCAACTGAATTCCTAAACTTCCACTTCTTGAAAATACAGCTCAAATGCATATCCTGGATTCAGTCCTGTGCAGTTTGCTCCCCACCCCCCTCACCTGCAGAGCGTGGCATGTCCTTCACCAGAAGAACTGATCATTTACAGAGACAGCTTCAGTAGGAGGCAATGGAAGGTGAGCGACCTTAAGCATAGAGAATGTCTGCTCTTGATGCCCTCCAAGAAGCTGGGACTTAAGAAGAACCTCACAACCCTGCTTAAGTGGAATCTAAGTGAAAATTGTGATTGTAATGACAGAGCAGTGGGGTGTAAGAGAGGAATGTAGGAGAGTGAGGAAAGGAGGTAATATGGAGGTAAATAGGATGCCGCCTTTCTGGCAAATGTTACAAAAAGCTGAATTTACAGCCAACTGGAAATTATGTTTATTTGAATATGAAATATGTTGAGTTTAAGGCAGCAACTCAGATTACAGTCACTTCACCTACTTTTCTTTCATCAACCCAGTCAGTCCAGGCAAACTCTTAACGAGCCTTCCTCTGCTAAAGACAGAGAAACGTCATACAGCATTCAAATGATGCAAAATTCAAAATGCACTACAGAGTGTAGTTTGTAAAATACTCTGCCTTTATGATTGATTCAATTACCTCTGGCAACAGGAGATTTTAGAAAAAGAAGCATGCTCTGATGCAGTGAAAAGGAAACTCACTTACCAATACAGTAGCCAGTTGTCATCTTGATTTCAAAGACTGCGATGCTGGTTGTATTTCCATGTCCTAGCACACCTTCTATTAAAATCTGTACAACACATGGGGTAGAAGGGAGTTAGACTTTAAAACACCATGTGTCCATTTTTAGTATTTCATCTACTAGTCAGAAGCTGTTCAGCAATTCAAGGCAAAATGAGATTGTTTGTCTCAGTTCGTTGCTGTTGGATACTAATCCCATGATGGACTTTACTGAAAGAAGGCAAGTGTGTGCATGTGCATGTGTGTACACAAACCCATACACATATTTTCAGAACTTTGAGGCGAGCAAGGTATCCAGTAAGAGCTCAGGTGCCTTCCATTGTAACCCCAGCCACCACCTTCTCCCACATCTGTGCTGACACCAGTTGGCTGCAGATGGAAAGGAGACTTAGGTCTCTGGGCAAATCCATTCTGAGCATGGCCAGGAACTGAAGGCAGAGGCCTCAGAGGGAGATAAAAATCCCTTGGAAGAGGAGGCAGGTATGGAAATTTGACCAGTGGTCGGGGGATCTTGGCATGAATGGAAGAGGCTCAAAACTCAACTCAACTTGTAGTTTCTATATCGATGAAAATTTGATAATTTTACACGAAGAACAGAGATTTTTTTGCTTCAGTAGTATCTGACTCTGTGCAACCCTATTCACTATAGCCCACCAGGCTCCCCTGTCCATGGGATTCTCCAGGCAAACATACTGGAGTGGGTTGCTGTGCTCTCCTCCCAGGGATGTTCCCAACCCAGGGATCGAACCCAGGTCTCCTGCATTGCAGGTGGATCCTTTACCATCTGAGCCACCAGGGAAGCCCCAGAGAATAGAGAGAAGCAAAACAATTTATGTGGCTGATTTCAAGCACTGTTTACCTTGGGTCTTGCTTCTGAAAATATTTGCCTTTCCTTATGTGATTTTAGTCCAATATTTTGCAGCTATTCTGGTAGATATCAGGTGTGATATACCGTTAGGGGGACACTTAATAATAGGGAGCTTAGACCTCCAGTGCTTCTTCCTTCAACCCACCCTGCTGTCTGATGGGAGGACTACATGCAGATACAGCATGTAGAGTACCGTATTCCAAAGCTTGTTGAGGAAGAAGAGATAAGGGATAAGGAATTGAAAAGGGGATTAGAAATGGAGAAAGTTTTCTGGAAGCCTCCGCTTTTTCCCCCATGACAAGTTCTCACTAAATGTCACACTTCATGGCCAACTGAGTCCAGGCTCCATCCTCCTTCCTGCTCCAATCTACATCCAACTTTCTGTTATATTCTCTACCATACTTCCGCAGTACTTTTGATGGAACAACTTTCATCTTTGAAATCAGAACATGTCCTTTAAGTATCTTCCCTTTTTCAATGTATTTTCATTTTTTATCATAGTTACTGTTTTGTTAACAATTATAGCAAAGGAAGCATTAGGAAGACAACACAAACATAAACACACAACTTAGGAGAATGAAACAAAATTATAAGAAATGAGAATACTCCCTAAAGCCCATTGGAAAATAAATTTTCATTGAAGAGGTTGGTTTAAGCCCCATTTAGATTCTTACACAGATCCCACTTAAATAGACAGAAAATAAATCTGGGAAGAAACTCTTCTAAGGAATAAACAATATTAATTTCCATTACTAATGTTTTTCTGTGATGCAGCTCCTTCAAAATGTCACATCCTAACACAGGAGATAACTAACTGCAATGAATGGCAGAAGTTTTCATAAAATCTCAGAATAGTATAATGTCAAACAATAAGCCTGCATCTAAATTGTTTCTACCTTGAATTTTTTGGAACTGTTTTGCAAATCCAAGCTGACTATGAGCCAGCTGTCCGAAGGCTCCTTGGCTGACCAAAGCAAGCGGTCAAAGTTTTCATCTTCAAATCTCATGTAGAGGTTCAGCCGGCTGGGATCTGACTGAGACCCTGAAGATGTGCTTATCTGGTAGACCAATCGGAGGCAGCTCCATTCTTCAGCCTGCAGATCAGGACTCAGCAGCACGGCTTTCTCCCCTTCCTTGGCAAAGGAGGTGTCCACATAAATATAATGTCCTAGAAAAGAAGGGGACCCAGGGAAGAAATCAATCTTCTGTTTGTGACTCAGGAAAATGCACAACTTCAGTCCAGGAAACCCGAGGGCAGACACAGCCAGCACATGCATTATGTGGGCCCACTACATGTTGCCTGAACACTGGATCTCTGCTTCTGGTGAGAAATTAGAAGGTCTGGTGACACAGAGGCTACTTTCACACAACAGCAGCTGCCCAGAGCTCAGTAGTGCTGCCTCTTTAGAGGTGGCATGTGAGCTCCATTTGCCATAATCCCCACTTCTGCCTATCACCTCCTGACCTTGAAGCCAAATATCTGTTGCTTACGAGCACCCACCATCACTTTATAACAGGCCCATCTAGCACACTGCTTTCATCTCCCTGGCCCCCATAGGCATATGAGTTCGAGAACCCAGGCTAAGGAGCTTCTGAATCTGGGGGAGTAGTATTCCTCTACTGGAGTTAGAATACCTTGGTGGGTTCCTTCCCTTTCCATCATTCCCCTCATACCTAATGATTCAATCCGCATTTAATGTGCCTCATTATTGTAGATTAAATTGTTTTGGTTACTTCAAACTTGGGGCCCAGGCAGAAAAAAATTTATCACAAGCTAATTTTTAATTAGCATAGGACTCTCCTTCTCTGGGTCAGGAAGATCCCTTGCAGAAGGGAATAGCTACCCATTCCAGTATTCTTGCCTGAAGAATTCCATGGACAGAGGAGCCTGGTGGGCTACAGTCCATGGGGTCATAACTGAGTGACTGAAACTTTCACTTTTCTCCTCCTCTAGACTCTTCCTCAATTGAATCTCCTAGTTCTGATAGCTAAATGAGAAAGCAAATGTAAAACATGTAGGACAAGGCTTGGAAGTCAGCAGAAGCACTGATTATTCCCGCCCCCATCCCCTTACCCCTTCCTCGCCGTCTCTTTCCTTCCCTTCCCTTCTGTCTTCTCCTTCCTTTTCCTGCCATCCCCTTCACCCCTCCTCTTCTCCTTTCCCTCTCGTCACTCCTCCCTCCTGCTGCCTCTCTCCTCCTTCTCCTGATATTGTCAAGGGCTCCACTGGCTACACTAGGATGTAAAATAGCATTTCTATGACCAAAAAAGGAGGTTGGGACCAAGAACTCTCACTTGAGCTTTCCAAATCTAACTCTGGCCATTGGCTTCCTGTAGCAATGATCTGATCTGCTGGTGGATCTTGAGGACCCTCTGCCCTTCTAACCTGCACCCTCATATTTGTTCAGAGGTTCCCACATTCATGGCCAGCATCTAACATGCAATCTTATATACATGACCACCCACCTTACCCCTTGCATTTGGGACTCCCTAACACTAAATTCTTACTGGAAAGGCCCTAAAAGGCCTTTTTGCTTTTCTTGATGTTCTTCAGCCCCTTCTCCCTCACTTGCTTCCCCAAATCTGATCCCAGCCCGAATCCTGTGGTGAGTGCAGACAGGCTAGCGGTAGCTCAGTGAATGGCCATCCTCACAATTAGGACACAGTCAGGGCATTATCTTTTAGGAGCCTCACTTGCCTGCAAAAGCTTTCAAGATCAAGATCTATCTCCAGCTGGCAGTCTTCTCAACATAGCAACCACCCATTAGGTGCAAATAGCAACTGCTTCTAGATGCCAACCCAGGCACTCTCTGAGAATAAATCTGGTCCTTGCAGTAATCACTAGCAATACCACTACCTCCTACATACAGCAAACACTCATTATGAACCAGGTGCTGCTCTAAGTGCTTCATATATATTTACTAGCTGTGGGGCCTGTTGGGTTTTGAAGCACTAAGTAAGCTGGGGTTCTTGATGCCAACTCCTTTTTGAAATGTACTGTTGCTTCATTGTGACATGAAGGAATGCATAAACATATCCTCCTTGTCCCACTCCGCCACTGCCATGAAGGAAGGGATTCTAAAAAGACTAGTAGTGGTGTAGGGCAGGGATGGGAATTGAGGGAGATCCTGAGAGCACTTCAAACCTTTCCCGAGGAAGCAGAGAATTGAAACACCGGGTATAAAAGAGGAAAGAAAAAAGAAAGTCCGTGCTGTGTCCTATGACTGTTTACATCGCCTGCCAACTTGGCTGCCGAACAAGGCCTACTTCTCCCTGGATACTTGCCCAACTTCTCTCCCTCTTGCCTTTCCCCTTCCAGAAGGGAAACAGCTCACAGCAGGGGCTCTCTAACTTGAGCTGAGTCACTAGGAGGGCTTGTTCAAACCCAGGTTGCTGGACCCACTCCTTGAGTTTCCAATCCAAGTAGGTCTGGGGTGATGCTACACTTCTAACAGACCACATTTCTGAAAAGTTCCAGAGAGTGCTGATGCTGCTAATCTGGGGATCACAACATGAGAACCACTGATTTACATATTGGCCAGAGAAACAGGACTCACTCTCAGGACACTGCTAATCTATCAAAGAAAGCATGCAAAGGAGGGAGGAAACAGTTTTACTTGGAGGTAAAATTCAGACATGTGTAAATGTGTGTTATTGGATGCTGAATGAGCACATCGACTGGTGACTATCTTGACTTTTCAGTGAATGCCATAAAAAAATCTTTCTCGACATAACCTTTTATTATGTCAGATTTTATTATAAGCATATGCTAATAATACTCTTATGTTAAAAACCTTTGAAAGCACAGAATATATAAAATGTATTATTTTAAACACCTTGATATTATAAGAAAGCTAATGCTATTTATTGAGTGATTTTGACATCTTGACCATAAATATTAGCTATTTAAATTATAAGATTTTACATGTAAATTACAGACTTCAAAATCACTCTTAGGTCATGCTGTGTGGATATGCCAATTAGCTGTATTACAATCCATCTAAAGATTTATCCACCCAAGTGATTTTGCAGCCACTCGGCAGAATAATGCATTTTCCTAGATCAAATAACTAGCCCAGTTGCTGACTACCTCCACTACCACTGCCAATCTCAAGTCAGATTTTCTTAATTAATTGTTACTTGTTTTTTTCTTGCCGAGCTTGGATGTAGCCTCAGAATCCTTTTAAATATATTATTCCATATAACTACTACAAATCAATCTGATTTGGGACCTAAGCTGGAACATCCCTGCTTGGGGTCATATTATATCCTGTGGTCATATTAGAGCTAAGTTGAACCAGAGGAAATGTGGCACATTATGAAGGCGTTTCAGAAAATTAAGAAAGAATGAGGAAGATACTGGTATCAGGATGGTGCCTTTCCCTGGACTGCCACTAATAAAACTGCCATTCTAGAACAAACTGATCATTGTTTTGGTGAGTTGTTTTTTTTCTTACTTTATTAAAAATAATGTTTTCGATAAACAAACGGGGCCTAATCAAACTTACAAGCTTTTGCACAGCAAAGGAAATGATAAAACAAAAAGAAAACCTATAGAATGAGAGAAAGTATTTGCAAACAATGCACTGGAACAAGGGCTTAATTTCCAAAATACACAAACAACTCATACAACTCAACAACAACAACAACCAAACAACCCAATCGAAAAATGGGCAGAAGACCTAAATAGACATTTCTCCAGAGAAGACATACAGACAGCCAATAGTCACATGAACAGGTGCTTCACATCACTAATTATTAGAGAAATGAAAATCAAAACTATAATGAGGTGCCACCTCACACCAATGAGAGTGGCCATTATTAAAATGTCTACAAATAACTAATGCTAGAGAGGGTGTGGAGGAAATGGAATGTTCCTACACTGTTGGTGGGAATGTAAGTTAGTCCAGCCACTATGGAAAACAGCATGAAGATCCCTCAAAAAAACCAAAAACAGAATTACCAACGTGATCCAGCAATCCCACTCCAGGTCACATATCTAGACAAAACTATAATTCAAAAAGATACATGTGCCCTTATGTTCATAGCAGCACTATTCACAGCAGCCAAGACATGCAATCAACCTAAATGTCCATCGGCAGATGAATGGATAAAAAAGTTGTGGTACATATATATAATGGAAATATTACTCAGCCATAAAAAGAATGAAATTATGCCATTTGCAGCAACATGGATGTAATTAACGATGGTCATACTAAGTGAAGTAAGTCAGAAAGAGAAAGACAAATACCATATGCTATCACTTATATGTGGTGATATGGTAAATATTTTAAAATATGGTAAATATTTTTTCCCATTCATAGGTTTTCATTTCACTTTCTTAATGGTACTCTTTGAAGTACACAATTTTTCATTTTGATGAAATCCAGTTTTCTATTTTTTATTCGTGTGTGCTTTTGGTGTCATAACTAGGAAGTCATTGTCTAATTTAAGGTCATGAAGGTTTACAACTCTGTTTTCTTCTAAAAGTTTTATAGTTTTAGCTGTTACATTTAGGTCTTTGATCTATTTTGAGTTGATTTTTGCCCCTTGAATTGTCTTGGCACTTTTGCTGAAAATCAATTGAGCATAGATGTAGAGGTTTATTTCTGAGCTCTCAGTTCTACCACATGGATTTACATCTATCCTTCTGCTACTACCACATAGTCTTGCTTACTATAGCTTTGTGGTAGTTTTGAAACTGAGAAGTGTGAGCCTTCTGACATCATTCTTCTTTTTCAAGACTGTTCTGAGTATTCTGGGTCCCTTGCATTTCCATGTGCATCTAAAGATCAGGATAGGAATACAGTAAGTTAAAATGCACACAAGTTTCAGTGTCCTTGCTGATATTCAGTTGTTTTTCTTGAATAAATGCTCCCAAATATTGCAAGTCTTTGGTTAATTTCAAGTTCTTAAAAAGCTGATTTTGACAATTGTTGCCAGTGCTCTCATCGCTTTTGTGGGGAGAGGATTTTCCGAAGTCCTTACTCCACCATTCCCACAGACACCACTTTCTTTCCCAACTTTTTTAACCATAGGAAGAGAAACAACTCTATCACAAGCAAGAAAAAGGCAAAGGATGGCAGAAATCACATGTGGACAGGGTTGTTGATTATAACACAAGGGGCGAAGGGTCTGGGGGAGATTTAGTAGCCACAGTGTTGAAAA